CAAATTTGCTCCTGAGATGTGATAAAAAAACAAAAAACGAAAAAAGAAAGAGAAAAAATGCTGTTGAAAATTTGCCAAAAAAAAAAAAAAAAAAGAAAGAAAGAGAAACAATGCTGCTGCTGGAAATTTCCTCTTGCCATGTGGTTGCTTATATGGCAGCATGTGATCCCATACGTAGACCTTCATTAATTCTGTTAACGGAGTTATACGGGTAGACGAAAATAAAACAGTTTTGAAAGTTAATAGATAATTTTAAAAAAAAATAAAATAGTTAGATTAAAATATAAAAAAATAATTAATAAATAATTTATTATATTAAGTAAAAAATCTACTGTTATTAACCTATTTCTATCCATTCATATTTTTACCGTACAACCAACCACTCCAACTTTTGACGGCATTTCAAAAAAATCTAACTTAACGTGCCGTCAAGATTACACGTATTTTTAAGAGATCAGTCCTTTAATTTTGGTGTTCCCCACTATAAATCATTCATGCAGCCACTAACTCTGAACAGTTACTTTCAAAAAAAGGTTCTCCCAATGAATGGTTAAATGCTAGATTTGGTCCCTTAACTTTAGTGAGTTGCACATTTTTGGTCCCTTAACAATTTTTTACACTTTTTTGATCCCTCAACTATACGAAACGCACTCTGTTAGTCCTTCTGTTAGTTTGAGCCGTTAACCCGGCTTAGGTGGCATTTTTTATATTTTTTTTGAAGACATGGAGATCAAAACTTTAAAAGATGATGATTTGTATAAAATTTTTGCCATGTCACATGTTATCTGGCTGAAAACGCACTAAATCCATCAAATGGGTCCCACATCACCGCTAAGAATTGCTTCTTTCTCGTCTGTTACTGTTTCCCACATCAATGTTCTTTCCATTTTCAAGATTAAAGTTCGACAAAACAGAACCCGTTCCATTTTCAAGATTGAAGTTCGACAAAACAGAATCCAGCAAATACATTCCACCCAGCTCGATTCACTGAGCTCAATTGCTCAAAAATCCCTGCAATTTGAATAATCTCGGCAAACAATCATATAACCAAAAAAAAAAAACCCAATTGCCCAAAAATCCCTCATAACAACCTGCAATTCGGATAATAATCTCTTGGCAAACAATCATATAAAAAAAAAAAAAAAAAAGGTGGATCTGGGTTCTGGGTTCGGT